TTTTCTTTAAAGTTTAAATATATTAGCAACATTGCTCTTCGTAAAACATCTGCATGTAAATCATTTAACTGGGAGTAACCTGTTTCCACATGTAAGTGTTGCGTCATACAGTTAGAGATAAAGCTCACGTGGGTGACTTTTCTTTTCAAGTTATTGTTGTAATGTGCAGAAAATTTGAACTTTGCATAACGTTGGCTTAGACACAGGAATTATTGACCGAAATGTCTCCTGAGCGAGGTCTATTGGTTCAACAGATGTGGACAGTGAAGTTTGTCTGCAGGACTTTTTAGTGTGACAGCATTAAACAACCACAGCATCTGGTGTGATGTAACTCGGAGAAACTGGGCTGATTGTCTGTAAAATATGCAGAAATACGCCAGAAACCCTCAACAAGTCAATAAATAAATAAAAACATTTGAAGAAAATTTGGCCACAAACAGCAAGCGAGCAGCGTTACCACAACCAGCAAGTGTCAGTTCTGATTAAACCCAGAAAACTCAAAAACATTAAACAGTTCACACATGGAAATGCTACTGAGACCTTCAGCCTGTGGACGAATGTATAAACTGAAATACTCTTTTTTATTTAGGACAACACAAGTGCTGTAGTTGTAAATCGTGGACAATCAGCAATAAGACCTGGGGTTCAATTGTCATTCCCTGGTCTTACACGATTATTGTCAGGATTTTCTCCTTTTTTGGGCCGTCGGGCAAAGCTCAGAATGTGAACACTGAGTGAAACAGAGGCGTTAACACCTGCCAGCTTTCCTACACAAAGGGTCCGACAACAAGGCAAATACAAAGCTTCTGATAGCTATATTGTGGACTTGAATTAGCAGCTTAAAGCTAAAATGATATGTTTTTTTAAAGGTTTTTTTAAACTTGAACTGTTTTAAACTTAAATGAATTACCTTTTTTTCTGAGCCGTGTGGAAACATCTAACTTTAAAAGAAAGGACGACAGAGCCTCTGTTATGCCTGTGGAACGACTAAATAATAGAGAAAATAAACAAATAGAAACATCTGGGAACCGTTTTTCCTTAATCACAAGTCAGATCTCCTTGTTCAGTAATCAATCTTTGTTGTTTCCTCTTTCAGTGAAGTCGCCTGAGGTAATATCCATTTTACAGTACAGGACAGCTGAAGCTTCTTTAGGCAGAGAAAAGCTTGGAATACTTCATTCAATTCTCACCAAAAAGCTTTGAAGCTAAAAAGAAAAAGAAGAAGAAAGAAGAATCACAGTACACTGCTACCTACCTTCACATCAAACTCTGGAAACGTACGCCCCCTGACAACCCAACTCGTGATAAGAGACCGGGGCGTTATTGTCTGTTTGTGGTCAATCTCTTTTGCAAATCAAAATGAAATACATCATTACTGATTAGGCAAGCTAGCAGGGGGATGGACCTGAACACCATGAACCCTTTTTATTTCTGCAAGGATTTCAAACCTGAAGCATAGCTTCTAGCCAAACCTTCTCAGCTGGAGATTCATTTTTACAACGTCTGGTTTATGAAGGCAAGAAGAGAAAGGAGACTCTGTGCAAATCCTAAAAACTCAAAATGTTAAAGGCTCTCCAGTAAACCTGACAGTATTTCTCAGCTTTGTAGCTGCAGTTAAAAAACAATCCACTGGCCAACATATTTACATCAATATCAAAGCATTTTCTATCAACAAGTTAGTCTCTAAGCTGGCGCAAAATTCGTAGCACACGCTTTGAATCGCAGTGAAATCAAACATCCCACAATCGGCAGGAAACACTTTGACCCCTTTAAAAACGCTGCTGTGTAAAAGTGGATGGAGACATGGAGCTGAATCTCACTGACTCTCATTAGTTCCACCGCTTCTGAAGTGGTAACAGCATCGTCCCCCTCGGCCTCCGCCCCCCGCCGTCCACAGGAGGATGTCGACGGAGCAGCGAGGGATGACGGAGGCTCTTCTCACCGTCTTCATGGCTCTAAGTGCTTCTGTAACAACCCTCTGCCTCCCTGATTAAGTTCCCTCCTCAGAAATCCATCCCTTCATCGCTCTCACACCAGTCTGACGGAGCGTCGGTGCCAAAGTAACGATCTCCAAAATTACCTTTGGAAACAAAAACAAAACAAAAAGAGAGAGAAGGAAGGAATGAGAAACAGCCGGATGATGCTTTTAGTTTTCTAGTGTCCTTAAATCTAATTCATTAGTAACATTTCAAACCAGATGTGGCTACTTTTCATAACCACCACTGTGCTCAAGGAGCTTTTCCTCCCACCATGTTGGGAGTTTGTGCTGCTGCTGCTGAGTCGTATTACAGTTACTGTTTAAATCCCAGAATGACCATGAATTGACACTTGGACCAGCTTGTTGTGTGTATTTTAGAAGTGGAGCGTTTCGCCTGCCTGACTTTTGTTAAGTTGCTCATGTTTCCTCCATTCAAGTGCTTGTACAGCACATCAATGTACAGACGTCATGACCCAAATGTGACGACGACCTAAACACAGAAACAGACAGGGATGATGGGAATGGAGGAGAGTCACTACGTCTGGACTCAGGAGAGACTCGGTACCGCCCGGCTCCTGCACAGTTGCTTGTTTAGTCAAAGTTTATCGATGCTGAACGCGGTGCATGTCCAAATTGCACTCCCTCCCTCCATCCCTCCCTATTAATTAATTCATTAATGAATTATTTAATGAATTAATTAATATGTAGTCTATTTCTTTTCTTTATCCGGTATATTTCTCAACTACACATAAACCTTGTGCAGCACAATCAGGTCTGGCATGTCAAAGTGTCTTCTATTAAAAACAACCTAGTGTCACTAGATTGAATTATATTGTAAGCCACAGCATCCATGGCTGCATATATTATTGGCAGATGTTGTCCAGAAGTGCAGCACGTTGAACACATTAAACTCCCAGAGAGCCGTGCAGCAGCTGCCCAGTGTGGTTCAGTGTTGATTTACAGTGGAATACATCTACTGATGGATCCATAAATCACAGTCCCATGTCTTCCACTGCCTGCCAATAAAGGTTTGAGATAATTCACAAAGCTTTGCAGTGGCTGCCTCGAAATACATAACTGAGCTGCTGAGCTCTTAAAGCACTGCAAGGTCAGTTAGCTCCTGTTATTGAGGACTTTACTGTTCAGGACACCACACTGTTTCCAGAGACATATCGTTTATTCGTTAGGATTTGATATACTTTATATTAGTGCAGCTTTAGTCTCCCAGACGAAAAAATGACCACAAACTAAACGTGTGTGAAACTGCTTCTTGCAGACTACTAACTCAGGTGAGGGGGAAAAGAAACCTCCTCACCGATGCCGGGTATGATGTGGAACTGGTCGTTGACCTCCTTGTCCACGGCGGTGGTGATGATACGGACTTTGGGGAAGGCATAGGCCACCGAGTGGACACCCATCTCCGCCATTAGCAGGGACAACAGGAAGATCTTATCCTCTGCTACATCGTGGTCCTTCGAGGGAGAAATAAGGAGAGAGAAGAGGAGGAATGCTCATGAAAGACGGGAGAAACCTCATGCACTGGTCTCCATTATGACCGACTGAATACATTCACTATTTATTCACCCAGTTCTTCATTTGAATCCCGTTTACTCAACCTGAAATCTACCTGCTCAATGGCAATATGACGTTTTTTCAGCGTACCACTGATGACGAGCATTTAGGAGCTGACATTCATCAGTCTGTGTTTTATTAAGAGGACAGTTGTAGAGTTGTGTAGACCTACTAGCAGCACTCTGACGGCCATGAGAGCAGCGGCTCCGGTGGACACGGTGCTGTCCATCAGGATGACGTAGTCTTCACTGATGTCTTTGGGCAGACGAAGGTAGTGAAGCTAAAAGGAAACAGACGGTACAGAACCTTAAAAAAAATCCATACCTGTATCAAAGTTAGATAAAATAAGTTAATAAATGCAAGAAAAATCTAAAATTACAATGAGATAAAAAAAAATATTATCAATTCTAAATAGCTACTATGTCATATATGGCATATGTTTATGCTACAAGCAAATGTGTGCAATGTCAGTGTTGAGGGGCAGAATCAACCTCTGAAAGACAGACAAAGATAGACACCAAGCATTTGCATGAAGCTAAAGTTATGGATGATGAAATCAATCAATCAATAAGAAACTTCTTTAGAAGCAAGAGGAGGCGCAGGAAACTCCATCCAGACAGTGAACACGTCAAAGCAGAGACACTAACGAAATACTGGATTCCATTGTGCCGGTTGACCAAATCCTTTCGTGTGGTTGGAAGCTCTGACACTAAACTGAACTTATTACACGCTGCAGAACCACACTTATTGTTTGATAAGGCAATACCACTTCCAGTAATGATATCTAGCTATAGTCTGGTGACACCGGTTACTGAACTTTTAAAGCTATTAACATGCTTATTAAACTTCTGCTGAGAAGTATTCACTTTGTGTGGCAAATACAATACTTACTTAGTTCTTCACACTACATTCGACAGCAGACACAGCAGAAACACATGTTGTAATGATGTAATGTTTGAGATTCACATACCTCTGGTTCACCTGTGTCATGGTTGGTCTGGATGAGGATCTTTCCCAGTCTGATGTCTTTACACACAGCCATCAGAGCCTGCTCCATGGTCTCTCCTGCTCTCAGGATAGAAACACCTGTGATCTGCAAAACACACGAGGAGTTTAATGTTTTGGTCACTTTTTACTGGGAAACGCAGCTTATCTGGATCTCACAAGTGATGATCATTGAAGACACAACATATCTGGATGAAAACATCTGCTGTGAGCACAACAATCTTCAAATATAAAATCCTGCCAAACTAAACTTTTACTGCATCATTTACTATATCCTCATCCTCAGAAATAGATAGATAGATAGATAGAAGATAGAAATATGATAGATAGAATAGATAGTAATAGATATGATAGATAGTAGATAGGATGAATAGATAGATAGGATAGATAAGTAGGAGTAGATAGATAGATTAGATAGATAGATAGATTAGCATAAGAAGAAGATGATAGAAGGTGAATAGTAGATAGATAGATAGAATAGATAGATAAAAAATGAAACTAAATAGTAATATAGTTTAATTTTCTCGCTGTGAGGAAACGTGGGTGTGAGCTTTCCTCTTCACATCTTTTATTTGTATCCACACTTCTAAAAAAAGTAGTTCCTGTTCTCCCTCTGTTCGTCACTGAGATGTACAACAAGTGTGTAACATTTCGGAGGATCTATGCATCATACTGAGCCATTTTTACAGGCGTCACTGTCAATTAAAAGGCAGTAAAAGCCCAAAACTGATATTAAACAAAACAAAAAGCAACCAGGTGAACAGAAGACAGACTTACTCTTTTACCGCTCAGCCTCTTGCCGTCATAGACGCCACCCTGAGGCGTCTCCACAGATACCGGCTGGAGAGGGAGAAGAGGACAAAGAGGAAATGAAAACCCCTGTAATAGCTGCCACTTTAACAATTATACCATTCAACTGGATGTTTAGAGAAGGAGAATATATGATGCATCTGTTTATTCCAACAACATTCAGGTCGGTTAATAATCTTCACGCACAAACAAGCTCACCTTGAGAGGCAGGAAGGAGAGGGCATGTTCTATCAGAAGCCTCATTAATCTCTTGGAGTAGAAGATAAACTCATCTCTGTTAGTCTCCTTGTTCCTACACAAACAGAGGTCAGGAGTAAAGAGGATGAAAAATATTTTGTCTGCTAAGAAAAAGGCAAGAGCTTGACCCACACTAGCGAGCGGTTCAATTCGAAGACTTTCATTCTTTTCGGCACACACAAATAATTTAAGTATGAATTTTCTGTTTGGCAGCAATATTTTCAGATAATAAAGTTTAACTTGCTAAGCTGCCAATGAGATTTGTGTACCTGATGATGGTGTGCATGCCGCGGACCTGCGGGGTGCTCTCCATCACACTGAGGGTTTTGGGTAAAGGCTGCCCCTGGTGAGCCGAGGCCAGAGCCGATCTGTGAACATCAAACATAAGGACACAGACTGAGTGACACACACATTACCATGTAATCAAACAAACACTGATATGTTGATATGAATTATTTGTTCTAAGTCAATACTGACACCTCCTGGATTCAGCAGCTCTGTTCTGATGTGTATTTTTAATTTACAAAGCTTTTAAATACACAAGAGGAGAAAAGACTGCGTGAACTGAATTTGGCGTCCCACTTTTGAGGACCTGCAATGAAAAGCATCAGGTAACTATGACACAGGAAACTGTTTCTACAAGTTTCTAAGATTGCAGATTGAGAGAAACTGTTTTTGAAGAAATCAACTGATTTTCTAACTAGCCACCCGGTAAATTTGTCAAATGAGCTGCAAATGTTTCAAATAATGTTTACTGCATACAGTATGTTGCTTCTGGCTACTTGCTATACAGCGCAGATGTTTAAAAAGATGTTGTTTGACTGTACAGGGGCTGGTTTCACAAAGATAAAAGTCTGTTTGTGCATAGAGCTGTATAGCTCTTTAACATTTTAAGCAGGACTAATCGGACTAATACAGCCTCAGAAAATAGTTTCTCCTTTACATTTCTACAACATTGTAATAAATCTAGGGATGGGAATAGAGAACCAGTTTGAAATTGTCTGATTTCTCCGAATCGTATGCCTCCGAGCTTATCAACTCCTTTTATTGATGCCGGCATATTTTTCTGACAGTTGCGCATTGCGAAGAAACAGTCTAAAGAGTGGTTTTATTTCACGGAAGAAGTGCTGGTTGTAATGTCTTTATTGTCTGAAAAGTGATCATTTCAAAAGGCAAAATACTGAAACATCTTTCTCAACATGGGCTTAAATTCCTTTCTAAGCACGAATGCCACTGCTTCCCAACTGAGTAGCATGTCAGCTACTGAGGGTAAATATCCAGTGTTATAACATTAGTGCATTCAGGCTTAGCAGACTTCCTTCCCCAACACAAAATTTTTTTATCAGGAATGGATAAAGAATCGGACCCATAAGCAGAATCGATAATGGCGTTGGTATCAATAGATTATAAATTCCCATCCCTATATGAAACTACAAACTGAGTCATCGTCAGTGAGACTGACTCCAACATACTGCACAGTATCTTTGTGCAACTGGCCCCAGATTCTAGTGTTATACAAGCTGTAATGAACTAAAAGCAAAATGGATGAAAAAAAATGAATAGTTTCTGTTCAGATGGCTGTAATAAGTTTAGAAAAACAAATCAAGTTAAACTCAAAATGTCCAACACAAGCAACCCAAGGTGTTGGTACTTCACCAGCAAAGGTTTCTCTATTGGATCATTTAATGCAGGTAATGTTTGCTCTGTTAAGTTGTTATGAAACAAACACTACCACAGTGTGTGCCATCACCTTAAGCCAACAAAATGCAAAACAAGGAATTCCGAAAATTGGCGAATACACTTTCAAACACATGCGTACAATGTTAAAGAGCGATGAAACAATTTGTCTGCTGCATGCTCGGTCCCCTAAAGCGAAATAAATCATGCTTCTGCTTCGAACTGTAAATGAGTTTAATGCTTTCCTGCCAGAACAGCTTGTGTGTCATGAAATGTTGGTCATGAAAGGCATCAAAGGAGTGCAAACAAGCATGTTGGCTTTTCTCTTCAGTTAAATATGTACAACCTATTTTAACAGGTTAAAAAAAGGACCAGAGTGCGTCCAAACTACAAAACTGTGCTTTTCAAAACTACGACACTAAAAGAGGATGCACGAGGTGAGCCTCACATATCCCAGCGGAGCTTCCTCTGAAGAAGGTGACAGATATTCATTTGTTGAGATTAAGTGATAAAACGTGGGGTGGAGGGGAGAAAGAGACAGAAAAAAAGAATACAGGAAGAAACGTATACAGAAAAATACACAAAAGGACAAGAGGAGACAAAAATATAAAAGGAGAAGAGAAAGAACAGTATTAGAGCAGTGAAACAGCTCCACTATATCACTGCTGTGCAACACTGAACAAATGCTTTCCGGTTCGGGGCTGAGGAACAGCAAGCTCAGTTCGATTCGTCTCATAAGTGGGTTCATTGTAGGTGACTCAATTCATTCACACCACTTTACAGCGGTCGTCCTTTACTGCCCAGTTAGGCATACAGCGGGAGGCTTACAAACAGCCGGGGGTCCCACACATTTTCATTTCAGAATTCAATACTTTTCCAGACTTCTAGATACATTTTTCAGACCATATCTGGAGTACAAATAGCTAAATGTTAGGTTTATTATAAATAAACTGTTAACGTGTAACCTTCTGACTATGTATGCTATTATGTCAGTTCACAAGTTGGACGACAATCCACTATAAAACAAAGAACAAAAATAAACTAACCAGTACTATTTGTATTATATTATAAAAACTGTGATAACTCACCTATTTGTAGTCTCTTTTATAAATAAGAACCATAAATTAGTTGAAGAAACTTTAATAATAGGATAGTTTTATCTTTATCTTCTCTCTTCTTGACTGTGGAACCTTGTGAGCAAGTTGTGCATACGACTCCTCAAACATCCATCAAATATTTTTCCCATACTGCGCAGGAACCCTGAACAGCTGTCAAAGCACTGAGAGCAGCCTCTATTTCTGCACATTTAACAAACCCAACTCAGTATTGATCTTTTTATGTGAACTGAGGTTCTTTAAAACTGTCCGCTGGGTGTCTTTCAGAGCATCAGCTGGTCCCACATCCCACACTTCACCTGTGAGCGTTAAACTCAGGTGCTTGTTCCCAGTTCCACTGATGCTTTATTGCCCAGTAGGAGTGTTGAATGATGCGCTGCCTCAATAGTTAACCAAAATACATAAAATATCTCTCCTTAAGGATAAAGCAGGAGTGAATTAGCATTCCTGTAGGTTGGTTTGTGTTGAAGACATAGATTCATCCAATGTTAAATCAATATTAACTGATTCATTTTGACACTTTAATGGCAGCAGAACAAGCTGTGAACACAGTGACATACTGTAAAGTGGATTTGGTGAAAGTGTGAGCAAACAGCTGCATGTAAGCTCTTTTTGTCTCCAACAACTCTGGAAGGAAATATCCGACTATCATTCTGCTAAATGCATTCACCAGCTAGTCGCTAACTCTGTCTGCAGTTTGGTGTTCAGTGGTTTATCAGAAAACATCTGTATGCTGCTGCTGGAAATAAAGTTGATGAGAGCAGTGGAAGTGACTCAAAACAAGTTACGGTGCTGACAATGATGCTGAGCAGTGTTTTCCTGATGTACATTACATTTCTTTGTTGACTGATGATATATTTTACCCATGAGTAAATTGTTTTCACAGTTAGATTGAGTATTTTCATTGTGATTCACCAATCATAGAGGGAGGTATCCACTGTGGAAGAGACAGAGATGATCAATGTCTGAACTGACAAGTCATTCAGATCAGAATAAAAGGCATTCTGAGCAAAAAAGCTAAGTATTTGCAGAGATTAACCAGAGTGATTGACTGTTAATCAGTAAAACAAATCAAAAACAAAACAAACATTTATTTTGTCTTTGTTTTCAGATGAATTATGGTTGAAAATAGAGTCAAAGCAAGAAGAGAAAGCAATAGGAAGAAGGAGATGTAATAAAAAAAAGCAACAGTCATACCTCACAGTGATCTCACGCTGGAATGGTTACACAGCCAGGCAAGGGGAGTCGTGCACACACAAGGAGACACACACAAGTGTGTGTTTGTGTGTGCAAACAGTGAGACACAAGGAAAAAAAACAAGAACATAAGATAAACCAATCTGCAACATAAACCCTGAAACCAGAGCCAAACATTTAAAGCAAAGTAAATGTTTGTTTGATAAAATGCAGCATTAATGACATCCCACCATAATATGAATGTAGGGCAAAAGTAACATCTTCATCTTCAGTAGATTTACATAAAATAACCACATCTTGTTAACCAATGTATTCTTTGTTAAACGTAATTAATGGTTTGAAGCAAACTGTAATCAAACAAGACATGAAGAGAAGCCATGCTAGCAGCTGTGAGACTCAGGCACAGCAGGTTTACCATCTCAGTTTACTGTGTTAACATGCTAGCATTTACTAAACAGAACTAAAAGCTGTTGGGAATGTCATTAGTTTTGCAGGAATTATGAAGTTAAAGGATCATGAGGAGAACATTAATGTCTGTACACACGTTTGTGCTTTTTCCTCTCTTCTTTTTTAATTTTGCATATTTATTTTGTACATACTGCCTCCCCTTTATTCCTGCTGTGCTATGTGCCATTGCAACAAATAAAGTCTGTCTAAGTCTAGATGTTGAGATATCTCACTGGATTGTGGAAACTCAGTCATCACTTTGTGGATAGCAATATAGCAAAAACAGGAGAGTATCACGCTAACCTGTGTGTGCCTCCACTTATCCATATTGTAGATGCTGTGAGTGTGAAAGATGTTCTATGTATTCTACAAGTGACCATGAATGAATATGTTGAAGGTGGAACCGATCATGGTTTAGTACAGGTCATTAAGTGGCTGACAGTACAGTGACGGGAGGACATCTCTCCTGACGTTATGTGGTCATTAATCTCAGGTACCTAGACCTCCGTCTCACCAGGTTCGCGGGGCTCCAGAGGGGGAAACGGGGATAACAAGACCAAGAGATTTTTGATTGACTGAGAAGTTAAATCTTTAGTTTGTTTTTAAGTGTCATTTTATCATTTTGAAGGATAGCTATAGCTCACAGTGATTGATTCCCTCCCGAATTGTCAACCTAATAAGACGGGAAGTTAGGCAGAAGGTGAAAACTGTTGAATCCAGTTTTTCACTTGCATAAAACAGCAGGGAAAAAGCCTGACCACCACTGAGCTTGTTCAACCAGCAGGGGGAGGTATGTGGTCGGAGACGACATGAGGGTTAATGAAGTGTACCGACTACTGAGCCCTGACCTGAGGCTGCATTCAGCTCATGTGGTCTAAGCCTAAAAACCCTGGTTAATGTAATTACTTTGCAGTGGTGGAATAAGTCATTTGTTGCTTTAATCTTGGACCCTGATCCTTTAACGGTCGGATCCTTTGACCGGCTCCCTCCACCAGCTCTATAGTGACTGGTAGCAGTGATATAATGTAGTATTTAATGTATTTGCCCTCATAAAGGTTGAACGTTAGAGCTCAGTCTTGTGTGCTAATATTACATATTCCTACGTGCATGTACAGGCAACACATGCAAAGCACCACACTGTCTCACACCTCCATGCAGCTAGTGCCATTTCTTAATGTGAATTAATAGCTGCACAGCAGGCTTTCTTAACTTTAGGAGGAGCACGTTAAAAAGCATGGACAGCTGAACAATGAAAGCTAACATAGCCACTACTATGTTAGGGACGTTATGCAGTCTAAAATACTCTTCCAGCAGCAGCAGCTGTAGCTGCAGAAAATAAAGTGATACTCTTATCAGTACAACATGCAGTTGAGGCAGCACTTTTTCTACAAAGACTAAACAAAGATTTACTATCTATAAAACGGTGGAAATAACTAAGATAAACCAAACGTTTAGCTGAATCAGTAAAATCCTGTTCATGGCCCAACTCCCGCACTGAAACAGAAACAGGTTGAGGAACCCTTACCTTCTCCAGCTGACTGTGAACGTGCTGAACAATCAAATCCAGCGCTACAAAGTTTTCTCCACCTGCAAAATAAGACGAATTTAAAGTCACAAAGGACAACAATTAACTGATATTTCTTTAACTTTTATAGTTTGTGCCAGTAGAAGGCCAGTAGCACCAGAAACAAGCAGCATGTAAAGCAAAGAAGCATTGAAAAGGTTGTACTGGTATATTTCTATTCAGTAAACCACACTGACCTCTGGGCACCACGATGTCAGCTGACTGCACCGTGGGCTCGATGTACTGCTCGAAAGCGGGCTTCACAAACTTATTATATTGTTTGATAATGCCACTGATGTCCCGTCCGCGCTGTGAAATGTCCCTCTTCAGCCTCCGTATCAGGCGGATGTCAGAATCTGTGTCCACAAACACCTTCATGTCCAGCAGCTGGCAGACGGGAAAGAAAAGGAGAGAAATCAGTCCAATTAAAGTCGAATGCTAAATATGTAAATGTAATCATACAAAATGTAGATGTTTTCAATCCAGTATCTTAGACTGCAATCCAAAACCACCACGAAGAAGGAAAATTAAATATTTGACATATCAAGGTACACTTTCTTGCAAAAACCATATTTTTAATCCAATATTGCCATAAAGCAGCTGTGCTAATGTACAATGGCCTCATCCACCCAGAGATATTAAAGGAAGAGCTATCAGGGTATATCAGAATCACTGAAGGTTGACAAATGTATATTGTTGCACGGTATATATCGTTACATTTCCCACCCCTATGATACATCATACTGTGCAGGTGTTGCTTTTATTGTGTCCACCACGTGTAAACAATGCTAGCTAGTCATTCAGTAAGTAAACAGTAAGTAAAAGTAAAGTGTCTCATTACTTAAACCACAACCTGTCTCATGGGTGCAGTGCCATACAGTGCAGTCATTTATATATGCAACAGCAATAAAAACATGGTAACGTGTTTTAATGCTGAATAATCAAGTAAAAAAACTACAGAATAATGAGATCCAGATATTTTATTATTGGAATATTTTTAATTCTAATAAGGCTGCAAGGTTATTTAATTTGATCAATTAAGCATTCATTTGTTGATTAACAGTTGTTGATCCAATAAAATAACCACATTTACAAATATTTAATGTATTGATGACTATTACAATGCCAGATGACATTTTGCAATTGCCCATTTTTACTAGATATTAAGTTTACAAACAATAATAAGACCTGAGAAACGGACATTATCTTTTCTTTTAGCAATTATCAAAACTGTTAATTTTCTGCTGATTAACTGACTGTTTCCGCTCTAAACCCTGTATAGTATTAAGTATGGGGTATGTGTAAAACAGTGTAAGTGTATTAAAGGAGGGAGGAACAAAGAAAACCTGCATGCTTTGTCTCTTAGTATTGTCAAAAGAGCCAAAGCGTATGTTGCTTTGCGGCAGGCTGAAAGTCAGTGAAAAAAGCTCTTTGCCGCCTCCATGAGCTGACATTTTTACAGCTGAAATGTGACGTTGGGGTCAGGACATGTTGAAGAAAGTGTAAACCGAGGAGACATCCGTTATCACTGTCAATTTAAAGAGTGAGTCAGCCGATGTACCGTACGGTAAGCTCCATTAAACCGAACCTCAACTCAGCAAAACCAGGAAGAATCAATGAGCCGGCATCACAACAGAGGTGGGACAACACAGAGGCAACAAGCTTACTCACACAAAGAACTATTGATGACGACCGAAAAGAAGTGTGTGAGTGATTTAGATGAGGGTGACGGTGTCGGTTATGTATAACTCAGCTGCACAACAAGCCTGTGGGTTTTGTCTGCTGTAAATCTGACAAACTGACCAACCAAAAGACAGCGTGTTGCTGGATAAGCACGACTGTCAGCCCATAGGAGGAGGTGAATGAGGAGTGGATTGTTCCCAAAGGTTAGAGAGCAAGGCTGCGGCTGTAGATCATTTTATAACCTGCTGCAACAGGGAAGCACTCAAGTTTCTGTTTGCCACAACAGTGAAACAGGAATAAACTGCGAGGTAATCTCAATTTGGGTTAAGATTAACTGATCTTTTCTTTTAACAGAGTTCATATTTACCTTAAAAATCTAATTATAAAGTTCTTTCCAGGAAACTAGACCATATTAGGAAATTACAGACGTGTAAAATAGAGTAGTTGCAGTGTTATTTCCAGTACAAGTTATATATTTACTATAGACTGATGCACCTGCACACAAACACAGGCTAAAAATACTGTGGTCACATGATATTCCCCCAACTGTGTGAATTAATCAGGATCACCTGAACGCACCAGTAATCAATTGTGCACTGGATTGTGGGACAATAAGCACTGAAGTTGTATCATTAAAAATTCAGTTAGAGACGTCGGCAGTTGAGCTGCATTTTCTGAATAAATGAGAGGATTTGTTGTTGTCTGTCACTGAAGGATGGGAAGGATTGTGTGTATGAATAGTTATTTAAATGGGTTTTTACACAGATTTAGTAACGTAAACACATTTGTATGTCTGTTTATTTGTATGTCCATTAACCCAAACAAGTACGTTACAAACCATATTCATTATTTATGTATGTGGTATGCTGGAGTAGGTGATATAATATCTCACCTCCGATGAGCTAAAGGAGAACTAAACTGAGCTTTGTTTAAACTAGTCACGGGGAGTCCCATTGAGCCTGTGGAAACATTTACAGAATGTCTGCTGTGGCTCTGGAGTCCTACAGTTTGAGAAAATAAGCCTGAGGGTTGTCACGGTTTATGTTAGCTTGAGCTTGGAGAATACAAATTTAGAAACAGACACTGCGTTACAACCTGAGGATGTGAAAGAGAAGAGTCTGAATGATATGGGTGTTTCATTGTGGGTAATGTATGATCAAATGCTTTTGGAGCTTGACCAATACGAGGGTCTAGAAGTCAGGATATCCTGGCCTCTGCTGATTTGATTTGACCATTTAAAACAAAACAAAACAAAAAAAAAGCAAGAGAACACATTTAAATGCCCCAAAAATATTCAGCTACTTCATCACACTGATGCTGAAATGCCTGTAAATACAATTTTGCCTTGAAGCAGTGCTGCTTATATGCAAGACTGCCCGCAACGGTCTGATACCACAGAAGATATTTTAAAGGGAGAAGCCACTTTGGTACAAACAACGTTATAAAAATCTGCAACGGATTTCTAATCTTCCATTGTCTCTTCACAGTATATCCTAGCATCATGTATGTCCGTGTGCAGCATCTCCGTTTTCTTGAAGCAGACCTCTCCATTAGCATATCAGATTTGCAGCTATAATGGACTTCAATTACAAGAGTGGACACATAACACAATTAATCACTGTGGACAATGGCTGTTATTAACTGAATCAGAGGGTAATCAACTACACAGCTGGGTCTCAGGGGAGACTGCGTACCTTATCACCCCGGTCCAGCTTCCTCTCCCCCTCTCTCTCCCCCCCCCTCTCCCACACGTTATAAAAGGTTGAAGACAGCGATGCGTAGCAGCAGTAAGACCACATCTGCTATAAAGAACACTCCCCTTTAATTCATATGGATTTCCTTCCTGGCTCCTCAACAGCATCATTGTAAAAGACTGTAGAATTTATTTTCTCCTCTTCACACTGACACAAACATGGGTGTAAATACCAGCTTAAAATCTTATGCTTTCTACATTCTTTGGTACAAAACATAATAAATAAAGTTATTTTGTGGTGGTACAGAAATGTAATTACCCATAAACCTATAACATGTAATTACCTATTCCATACTGAGGGGAACTCCAGACAATAAATGTGAATATTGTTTTATAATAACATTACAGTAATTATTAAATTAAAAACTATACAGATAAAGATAATCAAATACAATGTCAGTTACTTTATGTTTCCATAGTTATGGTCAGAGAGCAAAACTGACTGAAAAAACTGTCCCAATCTAATCCGTCCCCCATATGCAATATTTCATCACGCAGATAAATGAGCAGTTAGCCGTTTTAACGTCCGCGCTCAGAATCAGGAGATTTAGTTCACTATTAATCAGTCTGTTTGTCTCTGAGCTGACAGAGCCATTAATCAGGTCTGACAATGAGAAAGAAAACTTGGCCCGACTGAAATGAACGTGAACTAGTTAGTCAGAACTGTGTGCAGGTATTTAAGAAATCTCAGACTTCAGGGTCGGCCGGCAGCAAGTCAGCGACGCATTCACTGTCCTGTCTCCTGTATGTTGTTTTTAAATGGGGGACTTGATGTGTGAAACAGTTCAGGTGTGTATGAGTTAAAAACAGAATGACAGGACAAACAAAGAGTGAAGACTCAGTAGAGTAGAATAGATTATTCTTACCTTCAGCAGCTCCTTGTTGGCAAAGGCCAGGATGCCCTCAAAGATGACCACATTGGCTCCGTACACCGTTTTCTGTTAAGAGGAACAAATTAAAGGATAGCTTCGTATATCATATTTGAAGTCTAGCTTACACTGCCCTATATGTAGTGGAAGGTGTTAATGGTCGCTGCAATCATTCTTCCCGCTCATACTGGCTGTGAAGAGGTTGCTTCCTAACGCACTTCCAATAAAAGATGGGGGTCAACATGCATCCATAGTGAAGTTAAACCAAAGCTAATACAAGACTTCTGCAGCCTGAAGTGCAGCTATCAAATGTGTGTGAAATAAAATCTGTAATGATAAAACTTCTAAAATCTTGGCTAAATCACCTTGATAGTTTTTATCTTGTTCCTTAAATCAGATTTTCTAACAATAAAAAACAACATTAGAGGTGGGAAACAAAGACCCCCATTTAATTTATTTGCTAAATAAGGCTTAAGTCTAGCTTTTATAAACCAGCAAAAACAGATTTATCAGTTGCATGAAATCCTGCAGCCATGTAGACACAAAAACACAACCTAACAAAACACTCTTCACGGTTATCTGATCTCATCGTGAACCGGCTTTACTGCCAAGGAGAGCGAGTGTGTGCGTGTCGCTGTCTGTCTGAGAGATTAATCACAGTCTCAATCAAAGACAAAATGGTGCCGAGTACGTCACAATCCTATTACCTTCCTCTGACCAGCTTCATGCTAAAGTCAATGGACTGGACACTTTGATATTGATTTGGAGAAACAAAGCGAGAGAGACAGAGCGCGTCCGTGCGAGGTTGTGTGTGAAAAGCAGAACGCAAATTCTAAAGAAACAGATGAGTGTTTATCGATTTGTTCATTTCCCTGTTCTTTGCCAAGAGATGATTTAGTGGGTCTTTAACATGTTTAAGACTGGGAGCCTGAACGAGAAAGAAGGTGACCTCCTGAAGAAGAAACAGCAAGTAAACTCAACGGTGCCCTTTCCTTCATCCATATAATTGATAAGAGAAACACACACAAACACACACAGCATGCAGCCTGGAGCAAGCTGGCCCCTGCACTCCTCAGGGTCTGGGGGCTTAATTACATTCACCCCAACACAAAAGGCCCATAAAATGATTTCAGAGTCACAAGTCGTGATAGGCGATTTCCCGTGTGGTGTTGTGCCTTTCAGCCATGAAATTACATTGCATAGAAATAGAGAGGAGTTGTCAGAGTGCTACACAGCCAGATTGATTCTTCACAATGCTTCTGGGAGGGGATCTGTGCTCTTTGCTTGGGTTAATGTGCTGTACACTAAATCCTTAATAATTAGTAAATTAGCAGGCATCCCAGTTGGCATCAGCTCAAACGACTAATTGTCCCCGGAGAGCGTTCAGTGCTTAAGTAATTTCATCCTGTGAATTACAAAAAAAAAAAAAAAATACAGATTACCGCTTTTATTTTGGTGAATACAGATTATCCTCTATATACTGGTGTGAAGTCCTGGTCCCGATAAAGGTTAGGTTCCCACTTCTTTAACTACGATTGGATATATTTCAGCATTGATTATCAATTCTGCTCCAATTGATCAGGAATCTGCAACAATGTTATATTTTATAAAAGATTAAAGATCCCCTCCAGACGTATAACAGAACACTGCTTTGAATGTTTGTCTTCAATTTCCTAGTTTAAAATTCGTAAAATTACATCTACTCCTCCTCTCTCGTTTCAAAATCTTCAGTGAAGTAGGAGACATTTGGTGTCCAACAGTTTAAACTTCAGTGGATGTGCACTGGAGGATTCAAGTACAGATTGGACTGACTGCAGTCACAAAATCCTGCCTGTACATGTTTTAAACTGAGAGTTTCCCAGTTCAGCAGATAAATGTGACATGCAACTACAGTGAACGTTTAATATCCAAGTGGAGGGAGAGATTTTTAGTATTTAAAGTTAGAAAGGTGAAGGTCATTTTTTGACCACAATTAGAGTTATCAGAGTTTTCAAATCAATCCTCTACAGATAAATGTGACCAAATCAGAAAATCAAATCCACCAATAAAGACTATTGTATACTTTAATAAACACTTTGCACTATATCTCCATTTGGCAGCCAATGTTAAACTTTTTTTATTATTAGTATTTCACAGTTCAGTCAAATCAACATGTTTACAATCGTCTGGCAGCGACTGTTATCAGGATGCAAACAGCACGCTGAGGAATATTTAATATGTCCAGTTGTGTCCACAGTTCTAACAGTATAGATTAATACGACTGAGGAGAGACATGTCTAAAATGTAGTATACAGTAAGTGAAGCCAGAGTTAGCGAGAAGGTCTTACCCATTCTTTGCGTCTGCAGTGCGATGTGAAGTCGTAAACCGGGACTTTGATGCTTTTTCCTTTCTTCAGCTTTCTGAGGACGGTGACCAGCAGCTCGAAGTCGAAGGCATCGGGGTGGTCGAAGTTATACTCGTTCTTAGCAGCGAGCTCCTGCTCTTCTTTATTCAACACCTAACGCACCAACAAGTTCTTTTTAGTTACATATTAGTTTTAAGTAATATACGGTTGCTGTTCACTGGGCTACAATTTATACTTTATATGATTCAGACACTTGCTCTTTGAGATCATATAACTACAGGTTCCAATGGAGGATCAATGATCAATCACCAGGGCAGATTTGGAAAGACGATGCTGATGCTTACACACTGAAAAATGAGTGCGTAACCATTAGAAAACTCTGCTTGATGTCTCGAGCACATTTCATACAACAGATGACAAATTTGAAAAGTTAATTTAAGTACAAACACAAAGTTTATATCTCTAATACTTTAAATCCAGCCACAGACCTTTTGTTTCCCATTCATCCATTTTCTCTCTCCCATCTATTGTCCTATTGTCTCTCACTGTCACAGATTCAATAAAAGTATCTTCAATCTTTAAAAAGGAACAAATTGTATCTCCTCATCTATTAAATTGAATTCAAAGGAGGCTCAACAGACCAGAATGCAAGGTACTGCATTGTGAATGAATGCCCCGGCACCAAAAACAGGCTCTTCCAATCACCTTTATTACACCACCAGATATCTACACATTACTGTACGTGTACATATACAAACAATCCATACATCGTCTTTCAGGTGAAAACTGGCCATTTTAAAAGTACACAACATCAGAAATGAACATAATCCAACACTGTAAAGAAGAGATTTCTTTTAAGAAAGAATCCTCTCCACTTATTTTACTCATTAGGAATTAATTGACGACAACAACTCGGTCCGATCCACAGAGACGCGCACACATAACGGGCTCTGTGAGTAGAGCAGAGTGAAAACACAATCAACCTCTGACAGGCTGCTGACAGGAGCTTGTACTTACTGTGCTGGGATCAGCACTACTGACCTTCAAGGGTGTTTGATCAGTTTCATATTTAGTTTACAGTGACAGGATATTGTTTTTAAATCCAAAGCTGATTAATTATTATGAAACACTGAGTTTAAGATTATGACTGAACTGATTTAATAAACAAAAGACTGTTTGCAACTATGCACTGTGGAAATATTATTAACCAAAGCTCGTATTTACATTTAAATGACAGTTAACTGTACCTTGTAGAAAGAGTCCATGGAGAGCAGAACCACCCAGGGAACGTCAAGTGCTTCAATGATCTTATTGGCGACTGTGGTTTTACCAGAAGCACTTCCTCCACACAGACCTTCAGGAGGAGAACAGAAAGAACCACAACACTGTTAACGACAAAGACAAATCTGCAGGTTCAGGTTTAATAAATCAAACCAACCAAGTTCGGTTCCAGCTTTGTGAGGATTAGCTGCTTTTCTCTGGGACAGTAAACTGAATATATTTGGCTTTTGCACTGTTTTCTCTGACATTTGTTATCTGAAAACATCCCCTTGAGCTTTAGGAAACAGTGATGGACGTCGGTTTTTAGACCAAAGGGTTAACTGATTGAGAACATAACAGCTTTTATTACATGTATCCCAATGCATCGGTCCAACCCTATTAGGTATGCTCATGTTGTCAAGTGTTATCCTATTTCCCTTTGTTTGTGAGTTTTCCAGAATTCACACAAACACGGTTAGACAGATGTCGAGCTGCAGGCTGGTAGTCACATACAGACCCAGTGTGGTGCTCAGGTACCTGACTGATGCTCCTATAGAAAGAAAGTGCTTCCACATACATATATAGCGCCATATACCTGCAGCTGTCAGTCTCGTCCTTTCTGCTGCAGTCAGTCGAGAAGCGGAGTCACCTCGGTTCTGCCACCTTAATGAATTCCAATGCACATACAGAGCAGCTGTGGACGGGCTGAATGACTTCCCAACTTTCTCCTTAAATGTCCTCTACAAAATGAACGATGTACGGAATTATTTTAAGCTCAAATTGACACAGCTTCTAAAGAGGGATCAGTCAAGTAGTCAGGAATAATCTGGTGCTTGTCATTGAGTTATATTGTATTGTATCGTTGTGTTTTGTACATGTTGAATGAGCATTATGTGCAGACTATAACTGCTGTGGTATGTAGCATTGGTTCATGCTATCTACAGTGACTGAATGATGGACTTGATAACGTGTGTGTCTCTGGCCACAGTGTGGTTTATATGCTAGAAGGTGAAATAACGAAATAAACCAGATCGAGTTCGATGTGAAGAAATAAATCTGACTCCAAATAATGATCATTTCCCTTAGCTGATAATCTGTTGATTATGTTTTTAATTGATTGATTCATTGTTTCGTCTATATGATGTCAAAAATAGTAACAACTTAAAAAAACAAAACGATGTCTTCAACGGTCCGTCAAAAGTCCAAAACCCAAATATATTCATAAAGCAGCAAATCCTCAAATTGGAGAGGTGTTTGATTATCAAAACAACAAGTTGATACATTTTCGGTTCATCTACTACAAACAAATCCTTTTAGCATTGTGCTAGGCAAGGCAACGCCATTCAGCCCCTTTCAACAACACGGCTAATGAAGGTGCTTTACATGAGACTGAAACAGAAAAAGTATAAAAAGACACATAATTTAAAAAAGAAAATATTTTAAAAAGAGTAAAAAAAAAAAAAAAGATAAAAAAATAAGCTAAAACACAAAAAACAGCACAAACTGTATATAAGAGTAATGCATTTTATTCCATATGTGCTGTAACTAAACAGCAAGTAGATCATAAAACGTAAAACTCTTTCTGCTCGGCACTGCAGGAAATCAGTGGGTGCAACCGTATGTTGTGCTGGTGTCAATACCTTGAAAAAAATAAAAATACGGGCATCAGTACCGCTGATCCGACTTTACCTCAGTCGACCTCGTGGGTTAAAGACCAACACAGTAATCCTTCAGGACAACAATCCTGGGAACTGGGCCAGAACTACGAGCTGGACGGTGAAAAACGGGATGCATTCGAGCGGTTGTGTGCTGTCGTGGTGTGGTAGGGAACGAGAAATAGCCTACGGAGCTACTTCTGAGGTATATAAACAACTGGTGGTGAAGTGTTGGAATGGGTTTTTCTTTTCTTTTTTTGCTCAGATAAGAGCCATCAAGGTCAGAAGTGCTGACTGGGAGAAGGAGGAAGAGCACACCGCACTGCTACTCATTTCTACGTATGATTTACAGCTGGTCATACAGAGCTTCTAGAAATACTGCTCTGACTTGAAATGAGTGGTATTAAAAAGAATCAAACCCCTCTTGATATGAAGGTGGTTCCTGTGTAATGTCAGCATTGGATGACGGACCTGCAGTGAAACACTGGGAGACGGCTTGTTACGAGCGGGATGAAAAGGGCTTTTTCTATTAGCAATAAAACCAGACTGGAAGAGATCAGAAAACAACCTTCGCTGGTATCCATGACGCCTCACAATGGTCCCCCTCTGTCCTTCACCTTCCCCTCTGCGTCCCTCCGCTTCTGATTTCATCCATCACTTCTTGGCTACCCCTGCAATTTTATTATCCACCCTCAGCTGGTCGTCCTTTAGAAAGGAAACCTCACATTTTCACCTAATCGTTTCCTTTCTCCTTCTCCTCTCTCCATCTTCATTGACCTTTAAGTGTGGGCTGGTTTGTTTCTTCTCAGGCTCCGCTCTGTCCCAGTTCCCTGCAGGTACACAGTCTGCTCCTTTTAGGGGGGGGGGGGGGGGGGCACATGGACTACAGTTACAGGCCGAGTGTGAAATTGTAACCAGTCACTGCGGGCCCATTGATCAAAATAACAGATGTGCCTACTAAAGGATAATGTCCGCCGTTCTCACTGCACGCTTTCCCACTCACGCCAATCTGATGTGTTTAACCACAGGAACATTGGCCTCGAGGCGAATGTCACACACACACACACACACACAACACACACACACACACAACACACACACACACACACACACAGCGACACAGAACACACACGGTTCACTGTACTGCTGCTGGGACTCGTCCTGGAGGCTGATATTTTACGGTGTATGATCAGAGCGGAGGGCTGCTGGAGCTTTGATGAACATTAAAACTGCTGACTACACACACACACACACACACACACAGACACACACAGACACACAGGTGACATAAGTTTTAGCCCAAAACGTTCAGTGTCACGCCGATAGGATTAGTTTATTAGTGAAAGTGTTCATTACACAGCTGAGAAAATGAATCAGTTCATTTATTAAGGAGAATGTGAGACGTTCACTGACTGAAGCTTCTCGTAGGTTAAACTCTTCTTTCTTTATTTAGTTTGTGTCGTTGTAAAATCAATGTTTTGGGGTTTTGGGCTGCAACTTCAAGACATTTCAATGGATGTGTTTTAGACTTTCTTAGGCTTAAACATTATCAATATATCAATTATAGGAGTGTAAAGATATAACGCAAAATCGCCATACAATGTGAAGATTCAAATTGGTGAGATGAAAAATGAATCAAGGTGTCAAAGACCAAAGATCAGCTTCACTTCACAAAAGGAAATATGAAATGTTTTGGAGTTTATATCCTACTTGAGGAAAACTAAATGATTCTATCATTTAAAAGAAGAATTGTAATATAATATAATATATAAAGTAAAATATATGATATAAAGTAAAATATATGATATAAAGTAAAATATATGATATAGTGTATAATATATACATAGAAGAGAAATCTCTCTCACCAATAACAAAGGCCTCTTTGAAGGTGGTCCCGGTGACGTTGTACCAAGGCGGTCTGCCGGCGGTGTAGATGGTCCGTTTGTCCGTCCTCAGCAGCGGAGGCTCGGTCTTGGACTGGCTCGTGGTCCGTTTTTGTGGCGATAAAGACGGGGTCAGAGGGCAGCGGGGGACGCGGTTGGAAAGGCCATCCAGGGAATCGTCTCCACTCTCACTGGAGTTAAAGACGGGAAGACAACAGAGGCCAAGATCAGAGAGCAGTGGACTCCTCTCTTCAGGCCTTTCAGGATGAACCAGTGAGTAACAGACAGAGAACTTAAAGAGTGAACATCATTGTTACTGAATAAGTTTATTATTATATACTTCATTATTTAAGCTGATGTTTAGAGACTTCACTGCAGAATAGGGGTCACCATTCTCCAAATCCTCGATTCGATTCAATTTTCAATCTACTATTAATGCATTCCTTATATGTTGTTTACTGCTTTTTTGGCCTTTTCCTGTTCTGTTCTCTCGGGAGGGGCTTTTATTTTGAAACCGAGAGGTTGTAAACAGAACATTAAACAGAGACGTGATCTAGTGAAATATGATGATTTGATTGTTTCAGCACGAGGAGACTCGAGGTTAGTGTTCACCGAATATGTTCTTATCAGTGTGATTTCAGAGCAGAGAGGGGCTGAGTGTTGACGCCGCAGTTCAGCATGTGTGTGTGTGTGTTTTGGCGTCTTGGCTGCGTCGTCGACTCTACCTTCGAGTTCGGAGTTCGAGATTGAGGCGTAATTTGGATGGATTTGGATTTTAACCGCCCAGAACTACACGAACAGTTGCAGAAAGCAAACGTTAGGGGTGTTTGGATATTCTGATTTAGCCTTTTTTTTCACAGATGTGAGTTTAGTTGGAGTGCACAGAGCTGAAAACATGTTTGATGAGTCACTTATTTATTGGTAGTCCTGCTGTAACCTTGTTATTTGGAAGTAAAATACGTTCTGAAAATAAAGGAAGACATTCAAATCTTATTATTACTATTTAATCTTACCGCTGCTGCCACACACTGCTCGTCTATTACACAGACTACAGTTTTACTCATCTGTTTTTGTTTTTTTAATCTATTTAAGTGTTTATAATGTCAGAAAATCCTCCAGTCCAACGCGGTGTCTTCTAAATATCCTCACATTTGAGAAGCTGTGAGTTTTTTTTACGAGACTTGTACAATCCAGCAGCTCGTTTCTTCTTCTCTGTGTGTAATTGTAGATATTGTTCATTATTTCCCCGCAGATTCTTACCACAGTGACTTCAGTGAGCTGTGCTGGTGTGAGTGTCTCTGCTGTGTGACCCCTGAAAACCTAAAATTACCCCCCAGCTGGGATTCCTCCTTCGGCTCCCTGGCGTTTGGTACAGGGTTCGTGTTCGGTGCAGACGACTGCAGGAGCTGAGCTTTGTCTGAGTGTTTTTATACGGTTTTATCTTTCACTTCTTGTGGGTTTAAATTAGAAATTAGATTTTGGAAAGTGTCCTGAGATGACTTCTCCTACGCGAACATTTAGCGCACAGTGCAGTTCGAACGTAAAATGCTTTTAAATGAGATTAATTACTGACGTGTGGCGAGAAATGCGACGTTAGTTAAAGTTTGAATCCACGGAGAGCAGCACAGTCGCTCTTTTCCCGCCACTTGTGTGAATGAAGGTGTGTTTTTATAGGAGACTCAAGAAATCACAAACTTGTAACCACGTAAGGAAACTAGAGCCGAATAATGTTGTTTCATATCGAGGAAAAATGCAAAAGGTTCTTGTTCTGGTTTCTCAAATTTGAGGATTGTCTGCTTTTCTCTAATTTAAATCTTTATAAGTGACGTGTTTGTTTTGTTTTGTGCTCGATGTTTCTCGTCAGTGTGAAATACTTTCCTTTATTCTGGTGTTTGGGGAGAAGTATACTGTTAGAAACACGGTACGACTTTCTTAAAACGGAAAGATCGAACACAAATGGCTGTGTGACTGAAAAAGATTCCTTTCCGTATGTCTTTTCTCTCCCTAAAGAAAAGCTTTCGTTGGTTTCTCTCGCTCCAGTAGGTGTGTGTATCTTTGGAAACCACAGATCGCCTGAAGGAAAACCAGTTCCCCTTCGACCCGGAGAGCGGCCGCTGCTCGCCTCGGCTCACGAGTCTCTGTGATCGGAGGTCACATGAGGCTGTCAAACATTCACTTTCCCTCCTCCTGTGACTTTGCACTTTTCTGTCTGCTTCTCTTTCTCTTCGCCCTGAACCAATCCCTCGTAACGAACGGCGTGATGCGAGGCGCCGCGGTGCCGTTGGGTCTCACGGCAGACGTGTTGATGAAGACACAGTTTGTTTTTAATGAAGAGCAGAAGAGAAAACTATTTTTAGCAGCGCTGGTTTTCACGGTTACACCTGAGCTGACGCGTTCAGACACATTCATCTTCTGCACGGAGCCGCTCTGCCGCTCGTAGAGCCTCGCCCGAGGGTCTGTCAGTTGTTGCCGTGGAGACGGGGGATGATGTTTAAATGACTTCTTCAACAGAAATGCAAGAACAAACCAGCTGAGCACACACACAGTAACACACACACAACACAACACAACACAAGACACAACACAGTAACACACACACAGACACCACACCACACACACCAACACACACAGACACACACACAGTAAACCGAAACACACGACAGCACACACACACAGACACACGTTACTTATATCTACATGACAACAATCGAGTTGCA